GATTATGTGCAAATGATGCAGAGGTGTTGGGATGTGGATCCATCAAAAAGACCAACTAGTAGAGAGCTTTATGATTTTGCTGAAAATAAACTAAAAGAAATTGTTAATGATGATGATAACAATACTACTAGTAGCAGTAGTAGTAATGATTCGCAACAAGCACACAAACTACATCCAGATGCATATCATGCAAGTAGAATATTGGATGAAGAGATTGCTAAATCTAAAAGCTTGAAAATTTATAAAAGTAATAGTTCGTTAAATAATCTTGATTGTAACTCTTTTTTCTAGAATGTTAACAAAGGTGAATAAAAATTTCATTATTATTAATTAATATCCATTAATTATTATTAACAATATTATTAATTAATATCCATTAATTATTATTAACAATATTATTAATAAACATTAACTTCTAGTAACAATAGCAAAAGAAAAGATGCGATGAATGACTAATTTAATCTCCACTATAAATTTATTATTATCTTCTTTTTATTTTTTATTTTATCCTTATTTTGTTTCTCAAAGTTAAATTATAATAGAAATAATAAACTTTTTAGAATTTTTTGATTCTTGTTAAAACTAATTTTGGCTACTATGAAAAACTATTTTTGCATTTTTGAATTTGGCAATGATCATTTATTAACAAAAGTAATTTTGACTAACATGTATGTAATGAACATATAGTATCTAAATTAACAAATATATGCCTGAAGATCTTGATATTTAATAGTAATAAAAAAAAATGATAGATAACTATTAAGTTCACATCCAAAAATATTGTCATTGCCTTTAAATGGGGCATGCTGCAACAAAACCAGACAAAGTGAACATTGGTATTAGTATTACCAAGAATTTCAGGGATCAAAATTTTGTTATCATTAAATTACTATAATAATAATTTTGGGATAAAAGATTTGATGATTCAGTTTGCTCAATTGATTCACTTAGCATACGACTTGTGTAAAATGCTTCAGGATGGTGTTTATAATTCTTCATATCTGACAGGGAATTGTCTGATTTGATTATTTCCTGTCTTTTAGCTTCTGTTAATTTGATAATTTCTTTTTTTCTTTAACTGTATTGAACCTAAAATATTCCCAGAAACAACCATGAATTTCTTCAGAAGTTGGTCTATTTTCCTTATTATAATCCCAACATATTTCCATCAATTCAGCATAGAATTCAGGAGTATTTTCAGTAATTTGAGGTATTTTTCCATCTAAATTATCCAATACAAGAAGACAATTATGTTCTCTATATAGGAATCTTCCAAAATCATGAATTGTCTTTTTCTCAAATTAAATTGCAAAAAAGAATAATATTAGATAGTACAGCTCCCTATTTGCTGCAACAACTTTTTATTAAGAATTTATTTTTATACATATTTTAAATACATAAATAAAATTTTTCTATTATCAAAATTTATAACATAATAATAGTTTGATGAAATTCTCTTTAATAGATGATATGAAACTAATTGATGAAGCTAATGAGTGAAAAATATGTGAAGAGTATGAAATTTGTGCTCAAAAAAAATTTAGACAATTAATTATTAATATAAATACACATAAAAAAATTATCCATTTATATGTGAATATAAAAAATTATTGATTGCTAAATTTATTAATCATCCAATAATATTTTTTTGAGGACACATCACCAATTCACTTCAAAAAGTTCCTGAACTCTCCTCTTGATATATAATTTCTTTGAACTCATGGCTCAGGAGCTTTTCTTTAGTCCTAAATCATGATACTTCAATACAGGGTTGGCAAATGTGCGGTCCATTGATGGTCCATTGGTGGTCCATTGGGTTCATCAATGTAACACTTTAACCATATTTAGTATTTTATTAATGGCAATGGACCAGTCCAAAATTCATCTGTTCTCAATGGACCAGTCAATTTGCCAACCCTGTTGTAATGTCTTTGAAAAGAAGCGATGTGCAAATTCAGCCTAATAATGATGTTCAGATGTATCTGGTGAGCTGATATCCAGCAGATAAAATGAGATGAAAAGTTAAACATTAGTTGAACCAAGCAATGAATAAATGATATGAATTAAACAATTGTCTTTTTAAATATGTAATACTTACAATGATGACATGACACAATTAAGGCATTTTTTTGAACTTAATAGCTTCATTGCTATCACTATCTTTGACAGCATTAAGCTCATCAGTTACCTTGACCCACTCATGTATTGTTTTTGGTGACCCACCACTAGGGTTTTTATTCATGAATATCATTAAGGGAGTTACACACTATTAAAACAGCAAAAAATCCCTTAAAAACATGAGTTGATCACTTGATTTTAATAGTGTGTGACCCTGTGTGACCCCCTTATGATATTCATGAATACAAACCCTACCCACCACTTGAAATAGTCTCCTATAAGTATGAACAATTGATTTGTAAATCTTATAAAAGCAAATAATGTTTTATGTATGCTTACCGAAAAGTAATCATTTAAAATTTGCTTCCAACATTCAGGAATTTCAGCTATTCTTTAATATATTGTTCAAGTGGTATGGAATTAGAAAATCCACTCTCACCACAAATGTCCATTGCATCATCATTTGTACATCTATACATTAAAGATATTGAGACATTAGTGCTTCAGTGGCAAGACTTTGTGTGGCATTATATAGTAAACACTCTTTTAAAGGTAAAGCAGAGAAGGTAGATTGAACACTTACAAATATGGATCACTTAATTGTATTTCTTTGTATTCATTGAAATATAAAATGAATTCCTTGAAGTACTGTTCAATGTTAGACCCATTCAGTATTTGGAATGTGTGCACAACAAGAATATTTAAGCAATAAATATTTTCAGAGTAAAAAAAAAATAATACTTTGATTCATCTGGACTTGCAAGACTTTCGGTAGCAGCTCTGAGTAGTTTATCAGATTTTATTTGATTCACTGGAGTCCTACAACCTGAATTATCATCAATTATATCTTTTACATAATGGAAGCAGATGTCAGGTTAATGTAAAAGTTTTAGGACAGTGATAAATAGAATGAGCGAATTCTCACCATCAGATAAAATTTCTTTATCACCATCACTAATGTAAACAAGATTTTTGTTTTGTGATTCAATTGATGATCATAGAATTTTATTGTAATTATTTTCGTGATTGTACTGAAAATAATAAAAAAATCTACTGAGTATAATCTTGACACTCTGGTGACTTATCATTTGCACTAATTAAATAAAAAAACAGTTCAGAAAGAAATTATTTATCATGTATTGATTAGAACGAGAGTGACAATGAATGGCGACCACCACCACCATTCTTAAAATACTTACACTATTTAAAATTATATTAATAACACTTGGTTAGTCTGTTTTATTACTGGTTTTTGATTTACTATTACTATCTAATAAAAAATCTACTTCAATAAATTGTAAAGAAATATATTGTTAATAAATAATTTCTATGGACAATTACCTATATTTTTAGGAATTGAAGAAGTCCAGGGTATATTTGGTTTGGTTGGAGTAGAAATTTGTGGTCGAGGTCCTTAGTGGTTTGAAGTTGAATGATTTTATTATCAAAATGAGATTGATCAATCGAAAAAAAATTTTGTGTAATTTTTTATTACATAATTTCATATGTGAAATTAAAATTTCAAATCCGTGTAACAAATCGGGGTTTAAAAATATCTCAACTTTCTAATAATAAACTTGAACTTCACTATTAAGATAAAAAGGAACTACATCATTTAAGCTTCTAATTATATATTTTTATATCTGAGAACACTCCCTATATAAAGCTATGGTTGTTTAAAAGTAGTGGTGCTTTTTCACTTCAAAGTTGTGTTTATCTACCAATATCACTTTAAAAGACTTGATAGTAACAGACAAGGTGTAGAATACTTTAAGCTTTCATATGGTTAT